AAATCAATGTGGTCCCACGGCCCTCTGTGGCCCAAAGTTAAAAACTGTTGTTCTTCTGAGGCCCTCAAGGTGGCGCTCGCGGCCCACAGGTTAAGAACCCCTGGTTTACGGGACATTATGTTTAATCGCAGGTCATATCATGCAGGTTCTGGTTCTGACCTGACCCACCTTGATGAACTCCAGCTTCAGGTACTCGGCCATCTGGTAGGTCTTGCAGACCCTGAAGATGTTCCCGATGATGTCCTCTGGAGAGTAGCCCAGAGCCCACAGGTGCTCCAGCACCTTGTAGGCCTGGTCCACGTCCCCGCCCACGCAGTGTCCCAGCATGCTTTTCACCAGCAGGGGGTGGGGCTCGTCGCACACCTTGAACACGTTCTCGCTGTTGATGTAGCCGAAGCCCGAGTTCGTGGACTGCAGGTTGTTGAGCGCCTGGAAACAGAACCGGTGTGGGTAAACCCCGCCTTCCATCAGAGACCTGATCTGCAGGCTCCGCCCCCCTCACCTGTCTCATGTCTCCCTGCGCGGTGAAGATGACGGCCTCCAGCCCGTCGTCGGACACGCTCAGGCGCTCCTGGGTGACCACGTCCTGCAGCCGGGCCAGCACCTGAGCGTCGGACAGCTTGGCGTAGCGCAGCACGGCGCAGCGCGACTGGATGGGCTCGATGATCTTATCGGAGGCGTTGCAGGCCAGGGCGAAGCGCGTCGTCTTCGAGTAGATCTCCATGATCCTCCTGAGAGCCTGCTGCGCGCCGTCCGTCATGCTGGGAACACAGACCATCGGGTCATATTTACACAGAACCCAGGTGGTTCTGGTTCTTGGAGAGGGCCCGCCTCACCTGTCCGCTTCATCCAGGATGATGATCTTGTGTCGACCTTTAGGCAGCGTGACCTTCTGCTGGGCGAACATCTTGATCTTGTTCCTCACCACGTCGATCCCCCTGCAGGCAAAGAGACCAGCGTCAGGACTGGGGTTCTGCCCGCCATGGCCCCGCCCACACCCGTGGCCCCGCCCACCTGTCGTTGGAGGCGTTCAGCTCCAGAACAGCGTCTTTCATGGACGCTCCCAGCAGAGCCCGGGCCAAACACAAGATGCTGGTGGTCTTTCCTGTGCCGGGAGGACCTGGACCACAACAGGAAGTAAACTTAGGACTTTACAGAGCAGGTCCCAACGAGCCCAGACCATCATCCTCCCTCCACTGTGCTTCAGTAGCTGTGTTTCCATTACAAATGCTCGCAAAACTTTGTCGATATTCTGTTAATGTGGAAAACAGTTTCACAACTGCAGTGTTTCCTTTAAGTAATAAATGTTATTAAAGTCACGTGAATACGTTTGTTCTCATGATAAGTCATTACAAACATGGCGGCGATGGATGTAAAC